TATTAAACTATTCATTTTGATGGAGGTTTTTTACTTTCACAGCAAGTTTCTAGTGTGAAAATCAAATAAGCTCTTATATAAAGATGGTGTAGTAATAATTTATATAAGCAGTTTGAGATACAGAATTTAAATGTAATGGTTTAAGGTCTATTACAAAAAATGGATTCATGTGAGCTTTAAGTCATGTTATAATGTTGTTCCCTCATCAAAAATATGCCTAGAGAGGTGTTTTGTTTCATTTGCACATTTGAAGAACCCTTTATTCTTAGCCTGTCTACATCTCAAAAGCTCAAAATACTTTGTTCCAGCTTGTGATGTGATCAATTGGTCGTTTTCAAGTTAATAGCTACCTTTTCTCTTTAGTTCAGAAGAGATTTTAAAATCCAGGGCTGAAATGATACAAATGATAGTGAAAGTGTATGGAGTTTAAAAACACAGTGGAGCACTTCCTATATTACTACATCACAAGGTGGAACAGCATGTTTTGTGTTTAGGAAAAGAACAGATCAAAAAATGCTGTAGGATCAAAAGACGCTGTAATATGGGCCCTTTAAAAACATTTTACTTTATCTTCAAAATACAAGTTACATGAAACAGCCGATGTTTTAACACATGCCAGTAGGACTTTTGATGATCAGTAACACATACCAAAGATTACATACTACTAATTATAAATACTACTATTAATGATTGATTAATCTGATTTTTACTGGCCATGTAAACGTACTCGCTGACTCAACCAGAACCTCCTTTATGTAAGTCAATTCTGTGTTTTAATATTGGGGAATCTCCGTCTCTCCTCCTCCCACTTTATTGTAACCCAGATTTCGCCCAAGCTGCGATCCTCAAAGAGAATAGGATGGGGGTGCCTCTTTCTTTTCTTTTTTTCCCCGCTCTTTTTTCACAAAGCCTTTGAGTTGTGCCAGCGTCATGTGTTTTTTCCATCTGTCAATGCGCTTGGTGCTCTGAAGTGTGTTCCCAGCATGCATTCTCTGCTTCGTGACGTCATTTTGTATTGAAACTTTTGAGACGCCACATGGGGCATTTCCTGGCAACGGAGCCAAGTGCAGCAAAGAAAACACTTGACACATCCAGTTCAGTCAATTTATCTTCAAATTTGTCACGATTTTACAAAAAAGGAAAAATTATCAGTTTTGTGAAAGGTTGTTCTACAAAAGAGGTCTGTATGTCAACTATCTGTATATGAAATTTTGATTTATAAGGTTAAAAACTATCTTGCGTTTATTCCATTCCATTTATTTTGCTGAAAAATACTTGACCTCTGAGTGAGGTCACCTGTTCATAAATCTGAACTGTAACTTGGCCTGTTGGTGTTTAGTTTTGGTCTTTGGGTAGATAAGTTTAATGCCATACAATGGAACATTTCAGGCAAAACTATAACATCATCGAGACATTGAGTATCCTAAATGTTGCATATAGCAGTATACATGCAATTGCACAACAAAAATCTGAGAGAGTAGTACCCTTAAGATAACTCAGAATTGACTCTAGTGAGCTTTAGGCATGTTACAATGTTGTTACCTCCTCAAAAACAAACCCGGATTTGTTTTGTTTCAGTCACACATGTCTGAGTAACTTTTTATTATTAGTCTGTCTACATCTCCAGAGCTCAAAATGCTCTGTTTCACCTTGTGATGTCATGAAGTGTTAGTTAAGATTGAGATTGGAATTTCCAGAGCTGAAATGATCCAAATGATTCTAGTGAAAGTGTATGGAGTTAAAAAACACATTGGAGCACTCCCTGTATTACCACATGACATCACAAGGTGGAACAGAGGGTTTTGTGTTAAATATAACTCTAGGTATGTTTTGAATGAGGAAACAACGTTATATATAGATCAGAAATGTGCGCAATATGAGCCCTTTAAAGCTGTTAGCTTTTTAAAGCAAGTTACGGAGTTAAACACTGCGTAAATCGAAATAAATGTTGGTGGACCAGGTGGGTGAGCGGATATGGGTATCAGCTGCTAAAACCGAAGGTGGAAGTGACTCAGGGAAGGCTGTAAGTGATGCACGATGGGATTGCTGTTCCTCTCTTGAAAAACAAAAAGGAGCTGGGGGACTCGTGAGCTTTTGTTGTGTGTCCTCATCCATCACAGAGACATCCATTACTAAAATACTATACCCCTTCCTGTCTGCGCTCTGCACTTCCTCCTCCTCTGCCATGATGGACAAGAGGTTTGGGCAAAACATCATTAACAGAACAGACTTGAAAGGCTCAGACTCTTTTGAAATATCTTACAAACACTGCATGGACCTCAGCTCCAGAATTTGTGATTTGGACTGAGGGTACCTTGTTGCAACTTACAACTATGACATATTTACCAGTTTGAAATCTTGTGTACCAATTTATAAAAATGTCTTAAAACGTGAAAAATATCTGGTTAATTTTAAAATGTTACTAGTGTAAGTTATTAAGTTATTCCTCACTTAAATGCATTTCGAACGTCCTAACTTTACTATCCCTTTTCACAGCTTTCAGAGACCAGTGTGTGCTTTTGTCATGACGAAAAAGCTAACAACAACTAGCATGCTAATATACACGTCTTGCAAACAATAAAATGCTTCTCTAATTAGATACAGACATCCTGCAGCGGACTTACTTTGAACTGGGGAGCAGCTTGTATAACATATGTGTACTGGGGCAATATAAATCAAATATTGCTCAGATACATATACAGATACATACAAGTGGGCACAGGGCCTTTAATACAACATAAATAAAATTTAACTTAACTTAATTAATAATGAACAAGCACTTTATTAGAAATTATTACTAAACAATGTGTTCATTAAGTCTTTCCATGCTTTATTAAGGCTATTAAAGTGTTATTATTTTGAAGTGTTACCAAATCCACTCTTATTTTTCAACATTGTCAATTTGAAAACATGTCCTCAAAATGGCTCTGTCACCTGTTTTCAAAATTGCCCTAACATTTGGCTCTGATACCTGTCTGAGAAATGATCCTGGACTGTGTGAGAGCTTTTTTTTTTTTAAATCATCACTATTCATCCAATCCAAACTCTGGCCTCAAAGTTGGAAGTGCTGTTTTCTGATATCTGGTCTCTGGTCTAGACTCAAGTTGAGATGGCAGGTTTCACTGAGTGTATTCGCTCCTTGCTGCTTTGGCCTCTTCACTTTCTGGTTCAAGCACAGTTTGACTGATCTTCAGCCAGGCTCTGCTGACGGGCTCCAAGCCTGTCCCAGAGCTCCTCTAGACAAGACACCCTTTGAAAACTCAAACATGCACTTTGAATCAGCATGAACACTATATATAAATTATTATAAACCTCAAATGTCTGTTTCCATTGCATCCGGGTTGCACATTAACACAAGCCACCTATAATAAAAATTTAAATACCCAGTTACCCAATCTAAGACAGTGTGTCTACTAGATTTATCTGGTAATACCCATTATTTTGACTTGTTAGCGTATCTGCTATCAGTCTTAAATGTCTAGCACAGGCTGATATTTTGTTTCCAAAAAACACACACCTTTTGTGAAAATAGTCAAAATCAGTCCAACATTGGCTCAAAAATATCAGCTGATTTTATCGGCTCTGGATCAGCTATGAGAAAACCCAGTCGATCTCTAGTCCAAACTTATTTCTCTTTCTACACATTCCTTGCATCCTATTCGCTGCAGTTTATTTATGGATTGTTTCCACAACTTTGAGGCCAGAGGGAAGTTTTGCCATCATGGTTATGCTAACAACTAGAAAGCTAACAGCGCACCAATATTACTTCCCAGTTTGCAGGTGATAAAAGCATGTTATAATAGAATGCATACAGTACAACAACCTCATTTTGACCCTAAGAGTTGCTTTCACTATACATCTGTACTAAGGCAAACATATTTTACTTTATTACATGAAAAAATGGGTACAGCCCCTGTTAAATTCAATTCTTTTGAAACGATCTTGCCTCAGTGGCCAGTTGATCAAAAGATTAAATCCTGTATTGCACACTCATGGTGTAGTCAGTTATAGGCGTACAATGAACAATTGTTTTGCTAGCCCTAGTCAGTTGTTGAACTAATGGTTAATATGAGGGCCACAGAAGGTGGAGCTGGCCTCTCTTCAGGTTGGTCGGTTGAGTTTGAGCCCAGACGCAGGTCAGTTCAGAGTGGCACCAGCTGTGTGAGATTTATTCTAACCCACTGAATTCATGTGCACTCACTTTAACCAGTGTGTTAGATCACAGCACCTCTGAGGCGTTAAATATTTAAACAGTGGTTAAAAGGCTCCTTCTGTTTTGTTTGTACAAGACTTTATCCATTGCAGTACCTCTCTGAACTACAATGGTGATTATTCTTGGCTCATTGACCACAGTATGGCTTAATTCTTTCAAAGCCACATTGAATTTGCACTCTGCTGTAAACAAAGTGAATAGCTATATATTACTATCTTTACATGTTTCAACGTACATTATGTAAACATAAAATATTAACATATACATTATTACCTAGGCAACTATAGTAATATTAGTAATATTGTAACATAAACATGTGACCCAAATCACAGACTATTGTATACTGTATAGTCCCTTTCATTTAACTAGCCTGGTCCCTAAACTAGGGTTGAAATTATTTTAATTTTATTTTCTTTATTTTTTGGGGGGGGGATTGAGTTTCATGTCCAGTGATAATAATAAAATATATTTAAAAATTAGACATTAAAATGCTGTTTCAACACAAAAATATAGATTTTTATATATAACTGTAAGTTTCCATAACTCATCATATAACTTTGTCTTATTTTTTATTTTTATTTTTATGGTATTGATAATGCGTCTATTCTATTATCAATTAGTATCTATGTAGTAGACATCAATATACTTTATAGTTTTTTTAATCAACAATATTGCAAAACTTTCTCCATTGAGTATATACTAGCAGATGGTTGTGAGGTCACCTGAATAACTCACAGTTGTGTAACTTATGGATAACTGATGGTTTTGTGTTGGTTGTGTGTTGCAGGTGCGGGGATGGTGGTGGACTGGGAGCAGGACACTGGTCTCCTCATGACGTCCGGAGATGTACGAGTCATCAGAATTTGGGACACGGATCGGGAGATGAAAGTCCAGGTAACACACAGACACATTAACATTTTGGGGAAAACCATTTAAAACTTTAACTTTAGTAGAAAACATCGCACCCTCCACTCATAGTCCTGCATTTAAATTGGTGAGCCTTAACACCATGGATTTTGTCTAAAGGCCGAGCCCTAGGGTGCCACTGCGGGCCTTTTCTGTTTTAAGACAAATTGTCCATAGCTTGCAGCAGTTTAAGTTGTAGTTAAAGTTTTAAACACACATTGTAAATGCACATTTTTCAAAAGGCGAGACAAAAAAATAGGAGGTAGACCAGGTACTTGTGTAATGGACATTAGTGGTTCAATTATCTGCTTTTAAGATTTATATCACTGATGAGTCCTGAACAACAGCAAAGCATTGTGGGATGTTTTGACAGGGTGATAGGGTTATACTGTTGTTGTGTCTTTTGGCAACACACTTAATACATGTAACCAAATTTTGTCACAATCTACAAGGGCATGTGATTTAAAAACAGTTTAACACTTTAAAATTTAGCATTACCAATGATTCATAAAATACTTTATGTAGAATGATTCAGGCTTAGTAACTTCTTAAATAATACCCTAACTTCCAATATTAAACCTTTAATCAAGTAATTATTATTATAACCTGGTACCAAAACCTCAAATGCAGGTTTAAAGGGAGAATTTCCAAAATACAGCAAAAACGCCAGTTCACTGTGTGTTTGTGTTTAATAGAGTTGGATGAGCAGCATGTTGTGTGGTGTCAGGGACTTCCTCACAGTTCACTGAGTGTTATTAAAGGATTAACTGGGATCGATCGCTCTGTGTGTCTCTAATACAGATGTAAAGGCTACAGCGCTGCTCAGACGTACAATATGAACAGCTTATATTAAGACATCCAATTTCCCTTTTATTAAACTGTCAGCCTTTTGCAAAATAACACTCTTTCACTTACTTCAAGCCACAGTATGTAACTTTCTGGCCAAAAATGTTTTTATGTGTATTGCACTGAAAATGATATGAAACTGAAAATATGTGTTCTTACTAAGAGTGGGCTTGCAGCTTCGCAAATCTGACTCTTAAAGGCTTTGGGGGCAGGAGTGCTACTTGGATATGCAAAAAATGTGCAGAATTGTTCTTTTGGTGCTCTTCAGTGTAGGGACCAGTCTCAAATACAAAGTAGGAAAAAAACTGAGGAACTCAAAAAGTACCTTTATTTATTATTATTTTTATTTTAAAAGCCTTTATCTGCCATGTGGTATTAAAGGCTTTTAATTATTTTATACTTTTTGAGTGCCTCAGGACTCTTATTTGATCTCCCCAGTACTGCATAAAACTTGTCTATGAATGTATTTAACTTCATTCATCATGTAGGTAGTTGATGATGTGCAACCTCCACAAAGTTAACATTTTATTAACATTTTATTGAGTTTAGCTTTCTGTTTATTTATATTAACAAGGATGTTTTTTTTCCATGGTAACAATAGAATGTAATTTTCAACACAAAATAATTTTAGCTTCTTTGATATTATACAGTGGTCATATACCAGTTCTAATATAATATTATAATATAATTTATATTAATACAAATCTAAATCTATTTGTTTTGTAAAGGTGGATTTTTGTCATTTTTTTTATTGTTCAGTATTGATACTTCAAATGAATACAATACCTTGTTTGAATACTAGTTTTAGTATCTAAAGTTTTTGGCTACAAGTTTTACAGTGCTGAATCATATTTTACCCTGTTGGCCACTCTGTTGTCGTAAGAAGTGACATTTAGCGTTTAGTAAAGTAATGCAGCCCATTAGTGTGCTTTTGTCTTTCTCTCCCTTTTGTCTAATGGTCGTCTGTGCTAATCAGCCCCTTGATGGATGGAGCAGCCTGGAGTACCAAAGGCCCGGCTCGTGGCTACTTATCGACGCTGGTTTTTAGTCTAAATGAGCCAATAGTCTACAAACTACATCATTGATTATTTGTCTAAGAGTTTCACGAGTTGGGACACTTGTAAAGCAGTGTTTTTGTCTGTTTTTCTGGCAGGACATACCCACTGGAGCGGACAGCTGTGTGACCAGTCTGTCATGTGACTCCCAGCGCTCCCTTGTTGTCGCCGGCCTTGGTGATGGTTCTGTCCGAGTGTTTGATCGCAGAATGGGCCCAAATGAATGGTAAGTGTTAGGAGGAGCTAGACCTGATTTTTACTCTTAAAAGTATGAAAACTAGAACTTTAAATGGCTTGCGGCAGTCCAAAGTTATTCCTCACTTTCCTAACACATTCCTAGCGTCCTAATTATTCACTGTGTTGAGTTGTAAGCACTTTCAGCAACTGTAAACCTAACAACTAGCATGCTTACACTGCACTTCCAGGTTTGTGGAAGATAAAAATGCTTTATAATTAGATACAAACGAAACACAGCTATCTCCTTTGACCCTAAGCTGCTTTTACAATATAAATAAAACAAACTTCACTCTACTACATGGGCAAACATTTTTTTCTCCATAAACTGAGATGAAATTACAATCACTTGTGCCTCCATATACTCAATAAACTCTATGGGAGAGGTGTGTAACAGAAACAAAAAGTAGCCTAATAATGCAAATTTCTTCATGGGATGTAAAACCTGTATAAAACACTAATTTGCCTTTCATGAACAAAATGCAGAATCATGATCTATTGGTCACACTACACAGCTGATTTAGCGTTTGCCCAACAAACATAAAGAAGCCAGTTTCAACCTCACCCCAGCACATTCTGATGTTGTTTATTGTATCTGGTTATTAAAGAAAAGGCATCTGACTTTATTTGTTGGGCCATTCTTGATTTAAAAAAAAGAGTTGTATGGAAAATATACAGTTTAACTAGTATATACACTGCAGCCTATGCGCTTCACTGTTCTTATTTATTGACTCTTAGTAGCATAAATTAGGACTGACTCCTGACCTGCCCCTTTGACCTCATTAGTGTCTCATTAAGACATAAATGGCATAAATACTGACTCTTAAAAGTGTTATTTAAAGACACGGGAGATGCTTTATATATCCATTTGCCACCATTGTAATTCCCAACAGAGAGACAAGCTATGTTCTGTTTTGCTTCACAGCCATTTGTCTCAATACAATCTTAATTTCCCCCTCATGAGAGAAAAGAAACAGTAGTTATTGGGGATCATTCATATTTTGAATCTGCTCATTTGCCAGCCTCAATAAGGCCAGAGAGGCTTTTTTGTTTAAGACATAGAATAAGTATTTAAATATTGACCTTAAAGTTACAGTGTGTAACTTTCTGGGGGTGGCACGTTAACCTGCATCATTCCATGGAAACAGAAAGCCATATTTCAGAACATTGTCCATGGAAATAGATCAGTTTTATTCCATACTGTGGAAGATGTAGCCAAACAACATTTCCATGGAGACAAGCTGGAGCAGTTTCTCCTCCAGGCCAAATAAAAGTCAAGTTTGTGGAGCAATATATTTTTTAAAAAGTTTCTATTTTAGTGTATTTTTGGCCAAAAATAAATAAATTATTAAATGTATTGTGACATCTTGGATCCATGTAATTTTTATTTCCAAAGCAGTCTTTTGTATTTTAAGATAATGTACTTAAATTGTATCCTTTTAATTAACATACATTAACACAAAATAGTAATGTGAAAAAAAGATCAAAACTTTTACGCTTTAACCATTCCCGGGAAATGTCAAATTGCTGCTAATTGGCTGTCTTGTTAGAATGTGTGAAGTGTGAAAAAGCATTCTTCTTTTTGTGGTCAAAAGCTTCCAGTATGGATAAAATGTAGTGAGCGTTTCAAGAACACTTAACATCCCAGCTCTTCTGTCGCAATCTCACAGTGCCACCCAGTGTTCACTCCTCTGTATTACAAGGCTACTGTATTAGTAACCAGCATTGTAAAATAAAAAGTTATGTTGCTTGTAAAGAAGAAAACACCATCGCTTCTATTTATTGCAATACAATATTAAGTTTACTTTTGTAGAATGTATTTCAACCAAATTACTGCCTATTTTATGTACTGGAGAGTGCACTATACACACTGTAATATGGATATTTTAATGTTTTTTGCAGTCGTGTGATGACGTATAGAGAACATGGCGCCTGGGTGGTCAAAGCTCACCTGCAGAAAGAGACAGATGGCCATATAATCAGTGTCAGGTAATGTTATATATCATTTGTCATACATTTGATATTTAGGTACCACATTGCAATAACTCCACATTAATTAGTCAGTAAATTATGAACAAATACTTTAGCAACTACTCTGTTAAAGTGTTAGGACCTATATTATGCCATTTTCTGGTCTGTATTATGATGTTGTTTCCACATGAAGAGATATACCTGGAGTTGTGTTTTGTTTCATTGACACATGTTTAACACACAAGCGCTTCCCTCTTGTGATGTCATGTACAGTGCTCCCCTGTGTTTTTAAACTCCATACACCTTCACTAGAGCAGTTAGTAAAGACTTACTCAAACATGTGAATGAAACGCAACACAACTCCAGGTAAGTTTCTGAGGTGGTAACAATATTATAACATGATATTTGATCATTTGAGCATTATAAGACCTTTAATAAACTATTTGTTAATTTTATTTGTTTATAAATTATTATGACATGTTCTTTTTAGTGTTAATGGTGATGTGCGTTTCTTTGAGCCACGGAGCCCGGACTCAGTCAATGTGCTTCAGACTGTAAAAGGACTGACAGCTTTGGACATCCACCCACAAGCAAACCTGTTCGCATGGTGAGTCCCAGACTATAACATAGTAACGGATCTAGACATCATTAGGATTTAGATATCATTAGGATGACTGAGAGAGGGTGTCACTAAAATGGATAAATCATAGCTACTGTGAGTCCATTAGCTGTATTAGGCAACAAGTGTGTATTTAGGTAAACCAGGCTGAAATTACTGATGGGCTTGCATAGTAGTTAAGAGTATATACAAAATTGCAGTTCTCCTGGGCTATTTCAAGGCTGTAGTGGTGAGTAACTTTCAGTTTTTGTCACTGGAAGAGACCATGTTGATTTAATGGTGAAGCACATGGGTAGCTAATATACTAACAATATAGCCACCATATGTACAATTAGATTATTAGAATTATACTTCTACTTTACTTTGAATTCAGAAGCCCATGGAATGATTAAATTTTACCTTCCTGATATGATTCAAGTCCTTTGTTGATGAAATGGTGATTTAATTTTATTGCATATGACTTCATTCATTTAAGATATTTTACCTGTCTGACTACTGGCCTCTTATTTCTTAGTAATATTGTCTTGTAAACCCATTCAAAGGCTGGACATATCTTCATTAATTAATTTTAGGCTGGTTGTCATAATGATGTGAGATTCTTCTATATTATATTCCCCTCCAAATTACACCGTACGCAGTATTATATCTATTTAAAAACATACTTGACTATTGCTTCTCTCTTTGTCTTTTTCTCTTGTGCAGTGGCTCAATGAACCAGTTTATTGCAGTGTACAACTCGAATGGAGACGTGATCAGCAACATTAAATACTACGACGGCTTCATGGGACAGAGGATTGGTGCTATCAGCTGTTTAGCCTTCCATCCGTACTGGGTAAACTGCTGTCTACATATCTGCCTATTTCTGTTGTTATTTTTGTAAAGAATTTATATATGTATTTGTTTTCATTTCTGATTAAAACAGAACATTACAAAAATACAGAATCGAACAGTCTTAACCAAAAAAATTCAAATGAAATCAAGTGTATGGGTTTTCACAGGTCCTCAAACCCAAAATTTAATCTAAAATCTAAATTGTTTCCAGATTACTGTGATGTGATCATTGACAACCATTAGAGTGGTTCTCAAACATTTCACACAAAGTACCAATAGAGATAGTATTTGGCTTTCAGAGTACCACCAGATCCACTATATCAGGTTTAAAATAGACTAAACCTGGTCTAAAATGAATCTCAACCATGAATAATGTAGTTCATAATAGTGATTAACCTAAAAACATTAAATGTGCCTTATCTGATTTTTATCGTCTTAAAAAACCAACAGAACTAACAGAACTAGTTAATTTAAAACTGTTTGTATTCCTGTCTTACCTTTTGCATCCTAATTATTCACCACAATGAATTTTTAAGCACTTTTCACAACTTTCAGAGACTAGAGCTCTGTGAACCCACAGTGAAGCTAACAACTTGCATGCTGACACGCACTTCCTGAATTTACTGCAGTCCCTATGCCTAAAATTGGGTGTAAAATCTTGAAGTTGGACAATGATATAAACTATAATTGTAACTTCCCCAGCTTGGTTGCTTATGGCTGTTGAAAGGTACAGTGACCACAGAGCCTGTTACTATGAAGTATGATTTGGATTAACAGTACTTTCCTGATGCTGAATGCCCAAAACACATTAACTCTCCTAATGTCGCATTTAGGCTTGTTGCCACGGCGCTAGCATTAGCTGATTTCTATATTGCTGCATTAGCAGGCTGGCAGGCTTCACATTACATTACATTGCATTTGACAAATAAATGTGATAATATGAAATGAACTCTGCATTTATGATCCATGAATGTACAGGGACAAGGGAAGTTTGAATGTAAAATGCACTTTAAGACTTTTTTAAATTGTCAAAGAACTGCTCTTTCTTCCAACATGAAAAATCTACTGAATCAAACATTTCATATTTTAGGAAGTTCATAAAAAGGCTTACAGGGAAATATTCAGTCAAGATGCGTTTCTTAATCTTGGATATTTTGGTAATTTATTTAAAAAACCTGTTCTATTAAGCATTTGCTTTTAAATCTTACACATTTTAGTTCCTATATTACATGTTTGACTGATCCTTTTTTATTAGTCTGTCTCCATCGCCAATGCTCAAAATGCTTTGTTCCACCTTGTGATGTCATGTAGTGGTAGTTTTCAAGTTAACAGCTCCTTTTACCTTTTGTTCAGTAAAACTGGCAATCCCAGGACTGAAATCATCCAAATGATTCTAGTGAAGGTGTATTTGAAAACACAGGGGAGTGCTTCTTGTATTACCACATGACATCTCAAGGTGGAAAAGAGTGTTATCTGTTTGAGAGAAGAACTCAGCCTAAATATGCAGGATTTGTGAGTTAACATGTGTGAATTAAATAAAACACAACTTAAGGTATGTTTTGATGAAGAAACAACATAACACTGATTGGAAAAAACTGTGATGTGGGCCCTTTAATAAACAATTTATTCATTGTTAATTAAGTATTTCTTTATGCAGAATTAAGGTATTATAGAAAACATGACTGTCCTCTACCTCAGTTTTGACAACTGTATAAATATAGTGCTTAAGTCTGAGTGACCAGTTGTCTTGTCAGCGTCCTAACTGTGTTCCTCTCTCTCCACAGCCTCACTTGGCGGTGGGCAGTAATGACTACTACATGTCCATCTACTCAGCAGAGAAGAGACTGGAGAGGAGATAACACACACCAGCATTCACCCCCAACCAGGGCTGTGCAATGAATTTTAATTGAGAATTGAATCAATTATCAGCTTTGGGATTTCAATCGTGAGGTCTACAGCCAGTCAGTAAAAGCATGTGGTTTGGAGTTCAGACTTTGGACAAAGAAATCGGACTATATTTTTGTTTTGTTTTAAATGGCAAGGTTTGTCTAGTTTATGTTGAAATTAAGGTTGAAAGCCATTTTTATTTGTTTTTAATAAGACAAAAATCAAATCAGAAATTGTCATCGATGAAGAAAAAAACATCTTGTAATTTTTTTTGTCCAATCGCCCAATCCTACCCTGCAACCACCCCAGTGTCCCATGATCTCATTTTCCCAAATTATGACTGGAGACCTGACTCTGAGCTCCGGGATGTAAATTATATTTTTGTACATATGCAATTACTCCCAACCTGAATGTTCAAGTGATGGCTGCTGCAAAACATGAAACTTGTGCTACAAAAGACTCTCTATACATACTATATATAAAATTACCTTTTCATTGTTTATTCATATTCTTATTATGGAGCTAATGATTGTAGACTTGGCCATGCTGCAGGCTGTGTATATATAAATAAGTCTATACAGAAGAGGACAGAAGACAAAGGATTTATTTTAAAAAGAAAGAGAGAAAGACTGTTGCATCGCAGCTAGTGTCACTACCTTGGACTTGAAAACACCCTCCATGCAACCTGTAAGGGGCACATTTTTGCTGGACCTCAAAATGTGCATTCGACAGCTAAAAAGGACAGATATAGCCTTCGCTGCACCTTCAGATAGACAAAAACAGACTGGGTTCTGTCTTGAGTGGTGCATGTCACCCTTGAATGAGTATGCGTGTATGTTTCAGCACATATTAGCACAGTTCACTTCCTTGTTCATTGTCTCCAGCGTGCCAAATTTTCTTTTTCCTTGCTAACACCAGGGCCAATGGCTTTTTGTTGTTTTTGGTTATTTTGAGACATACTACCTGTTATAAGGGAAACTGTATCCCGAGGTGGTTAAGGTAGCTGGCTAAGAAAGAAAAGTGTTACGCTTACAAGAATGGTACTTCTGCAAAGCAATAATCATGTATTCTAGGACCTAGCTTCATGCCCCTTCATGTCAGATAACACAGCACTTGAATGCAAATTTAATCTCAAAATGTGTTTGATTCAAGCAGCCATAAAGCAATATAAAAACTACTTTATGTTTTGAGTGGCACATACAATAGTTATTTTCGTTTTAATAAATAATAATGCCGTTATTGATCTTTCCACTGTAAACAAATGAATTAGTTATGTATTTTATTTTGGTTTTATTGTTTGGTTTTGAATTTATTTGAAAAGGAACTAGCAGGAAGATGGTTACAGGTAACATCTGATCAGGGTCATGTCACATTGGATTTAAAGGTATACTGTGTAACTTTTCTGGTGGACGGGTCCATCATCTACTTGTCTTTATGGTTTATTGCATTGCCTGAAATGTTCCACAATATGGCATTAAAACATCTATTTAACATAGCTACGAAAGTGTATTAACTTTCCAAAAATACCTTGAACCTCCATTCATACGGTGAGCAGCTATGTTCACCACAGATCTGACAGATTTTTTATTTTTATTTTTTTCCAATATGCTTACTACTTTACACATTTTATATACATACAAAGGACATTAAATATATAGTAAAATATATGTAGCAAAGAAAAAAGTTATGTAACTACAAATGTCACATTCTATATTCAAATCCTCAAAGTATCCACCTTTTGCTCCGTCGAAAAATATTATGTAGTGTTATTTAAGATTTTTCTTTACTACATAATTCCATTTATCTTGTTTCATATATTTGATGTCTTCCGTACATACATAAAATGTAGAGAACAGTAAACATATGCAAAAAACAAAAAAACATTGAATGTGAATGAGATGATGTGCCCAAATTTTGACTGGTAGTGTATACCTTGGCCTGGTGACATCATCTGCTTGTCTCCATGGAGATAGAGAAATTTAATGTCATATTGTGGAATATAACCCATGCAAAGTTAAGACATCTCCATGAATGCAAGCAGATGGTGGACCATTCTCCAAAAAAGTTACACAGAGTATCTTCAAAAGGAATAAACATGTATGTCAATTGAAACAGTTGATTATAATACCCAGTCTGATGTCCCCTTGTACAACCCTGCAATTCCCTGTGTCACTGTGGTGCTGCTTGTCGCTATAATTTCCTTGTGATATCAAAATGACGTGCCTCTCCTTCAGCTTTGCTTCTGTAACTTTTTTATTCTTAATCGTTCTGTTACGTAATTTTGTGTTTTTAACTCTGCTTTTTCCGTTGGTAGGCCTTGACTTGAGTAAGATGGGGGCAGCAGGACAGACAGACTAGTATAATTATTTATGCTACTGCAATGGGCTTGTCTCTTGATTTCCCCCAAAGTTTAAACAAGAATTCACAATTTGACCAAGGTTAGTCCAAACTGACACTGACCTTTCACCAAAATCAGAAATGTCTCCAAAACAATACTATACTACTTTGTGTTGAGTTTTTGGAGAAAAAGAAGGAAAAGACTTAAAGTAGTGAGAGAGGAAACATAAAAACAATCAGGGTTGTCTGGCTGTTGGCTGCTTTGCTGATTGTGGTTCTGAGACGGAGATGAAATAAACCAAATACCACACTGGACACTCTACTGTCTCTGAATCTTTCTATGGAGTAGTAGTGGTATATATTGCATTATTAATTATTAATATTGCGGTATTGGTCAATGAAAGAAGAAAAAGAAGAGATCTATTTGACCAACATTGTTTTTTTGGAAATCAAAATGTAAAAATGACTAGATTTTTGTCATGATTTTATATTTTTGTCCTGAAAATGGTGTTCATTTAGTTTTTTATTTTACAGTTTGACTAGTAACTGAACACAGTTTACAGTTCATGTTAGTTGAAATATTGCAGTAATATAATTTGGTAATACTAAAAATGGCTATGGACTATCACATATGTTTCTGATACTGTGCAGCCCTAGTTACAGAATATAAGGATAATGTGTCCTCTTTTGGTCTTAGTTTAGTCTCAGACTAGTTTTTATTTTATTACAATTAATGTAGGCTGAAATATTACAATAATATAATTTGGTAATACTAAAAATGGTTAAGTGCTATCACATATTTTTCTAAGATTGTGCAGCCCTAGTGTGGATGGTACAGGCAGAGTAAGAATTTTATGCTAGACATTTTACAGGTGGATTGTAATGCAAATATTTAACAAAACATAGGATATAAAGACATAAAAATATAAACTAGATCTAAACAAATTATTCACATTGGACAAAATTTTAATTTATATTACGCTATTTTCTGAACTATGTTATAATATGTGTATATGTTTCCTTATCATAAACATTCCTGGAGTTGTGTTTTGTTTCATTCACATGTGGTTGGCACACAAAATCCTACAAATTTTGGCTGAGTTCCCTGAAACAGAAAACTCTCTGTTCCACCTTGTGATGTCATGTGGCAATAAAGAAAGTGCTCAGCTGCATGTTTAAACTCCATACACCTTCACTAGGTTCATTTGGATAATTTCAGCCCTGGAATTGCCAGTCTCCACTGAACAAAAGGTCAAATGTAGCTCTTAACATGTGTCATGACATCACAAGGTGGAACAGAGCATTTGGGGCTTTAGAGATGTAGACAGACTAATAATAAAGGATTACTCAAACATGTGTGAATGAAATAAAACACAACTCTGCATCTCTTTTTGAGGAGATAATAACACGCTATGGCAAAGCTCACAAGAGCCAGTTTATCTTAATATAGGAACTTTAACCAAATATGAGTTTGTAATAAATTTCTTTAAAGTAGTATTTTACATTACTTGAATACAATTTTGAATATTAGCTACTTGACTACCAGATGACTGCAGTATTGGTCCTCCAGCTGTGATTCACATGGTTTAATGAAAGTGGTGGGAAGTCCAGTAGCTCAAACAATGCTGCGTCTGACAGTGCTTTGTGAAACAGGGGTCAAAGTTCAGCGGTCTGACGACTGCGTACATAGCAATCCTGTCTGCGTTACGACTACACCACACTTCACACACAGACACTGGCACACGTGTCAGGTGCATGTGTTCTGTGGGGACATTACTTAGGGCGCGTCCCATTTCTCTTCACATGCCTCCTTGATTCCTCATTTCAGAGAAAGAGCCATACAGGAGAGAGGTTGGTTATTTCCAGCTGGTTCTCCTCTCTCAATAATAATTATTATTATAATATACACAACATATATTCATATAACAAAGGACAAAGCAATAACACATTATATACTCTAAAGGAGGCGAGTGAACAGAAATGGGACACAGTCTCAAATTCATTTTATGCAGCCAATAGCCCTATAAGCCTTATCTTGCTACTGCCTTGATAACTATAACAATACCTTCAAAAGCTCTACACTTTATCATCTTACATCAACAATGCAGGTCTATCAAAAGTGATGTCCTTGGTATACACACAAGTTGGAGTCCCCACAAAACTTGCTAAAGATGTAGACACACACATATAACACACACACACACGCATAAAGCCAGTGAGGAGTCCAGGGGAGCACATTCCTGAGCGAGAGAGACGCGGGCAGTCGGGACATCCTGAGGAAACAACACTCACTTCCTGTCAAATTAAACCAACTCACTGCTGCTACTCGTGATAACTGTCTCCACCGAGGTACCACCTTTGGGTCCCCCTTCGTCCCGCCCACTGCACCCAAATCTACCACCCAAACATCCCACGAGCCTGCCATAGCAGTGCGCCTTCAGGACCGGACTGAAGCTGGGATTTTCATCTGTCAGGATGGGCCTTTTGTTGCTGCTCACCTCCATGCTCCTGTCCAGCGGTAAGGATACTGTCTAAACTCTCTAAATATGGTTTGTGAGTTTGAATATTATACGTGGTTAATATGTTGTCATATTTTTTTATTCAAAGATGTGTGGTCCTTGAGAGGGGTGGACGCTCAGAGCTGTAAGTACAAAACTTGGTTGCACTTTATTTTGATTGAATCTGCGGGTTTTATGTGCCGGAGTGAGGGTTAACCAAGGTCACTATTTCGTAATGTACTAACACGTTTAACACGAAGTCTTCAGACTAATTGGCCACATCAATATGAAATGTTTTAAAATGTCAAAAAATCAGGGATATAACAATACATACAAAAATAATTATTAGTCTTAATTGATTTAGTTATTCAGACATTTCCATATTTTCATTAAAGACGTTCACTGTCTAATGTGGGGATATTGTAAAATCTCTATATTTCATTCCACAATAATCTTTTTCTTATGAATATTTTTGTATGTGTTTAACCCATACTGAACCTTTCCGACCTGGAGTTCCAATAAGAGAAAGGAGGTATACTATGTTAAAGGTCCTATATTGCACAAATTTTACTTTTTTGAGCTTTATGACTTGTTGTTATGTTATTACCGCATCAAAAACATACCTGGAATTGAGTTGGGTAAACCTTTATTTGAATTAATCTATCTACATCCCCCAAGCTCAAAATGCTCTGTTCCACCTTGAGATGTCATAAAGGTAGTCCAAATGAGTCTAGTGAAGGTGTGTGGAGTTTAAAAACACTTCCTGTATTAACACATGAAATCACAAAGTGTTTTCTATTTGAGAGAAAAAACTAAATTTGTGATCAATTTGTGCATTAAACATGTGAGAATGAAACAACTCCAGGTATGTTTTTGATGAGGAAACAACTTTCCAACATAGCTCAGAAAATTGCATAATATGGACCCTTTCACCTCACATGAACCATCATATTTATTAAATGTGAAGCACACTTTGACAATATAGTCTGAAGATTTAGTTTAATTGTATATTTGGTTAGTTTTTTCTGTTAGACACAATTAGTAGAGATTATGACAAAGTTTTTGCATTTGGAGCCTTTGGGAGAGCCAGAAGTACACATAAACTTGGTATCAGTGAGGTTGTCTATGGGAACTTCCTATTTGATTATCCTCTGTATTTGGTCCTTGGCTGCTGTTGAAGGTGACGTTTTGGAAAAGTTGTTGGGAACATGTTTTGAAACAGTGTCACACGCCTCTCTGTGCGAAGTCCCTTTGTGGAAGTCATTAGAGGCTCTGCACAATCTGAGTGAAGATAGAGGTGAACACTATCAAAACATTAGATCGAGATTAGACTTTTTAATGCTTGTCTCCTACATTTAAACTATTTTCTGTTGGCTTTAAAGAAATTGGTATGGTTTGTTTTGTAACACCTATATCAACACCCCTGAACTGATTTACTTTTTCTTTTCTTTTTTCTGACGAGATATCAGCCGGTTGCACTTTGTAGAAACTGTCTGACCTCGCAGCGTTAGAATTCCTTTGCTCTACTGTAGGCGGGTATTTTTTTAATTTAACCAATTGCTGCTATTTGGTCGTCAGGTATGTAATGTCCCACTAACAGGGCTAACTGGTATATTAAGCTTTTCCCAAATCCTGTAGGAAGAAGGGTAATAATGTTTCCCCTTGATAAAATTCACCAAACTCTCTCGGGAATTGTTGCCAACACAGAATGTATGGCTCTTCACTGATTGGCTGGTGCCTGAACTCACACTTTCGGGATTTTTGCGAACCGTCTAGTGTATTCCAATTCCTGACATAGTGGAGAGAAATGAAATTGAGCGGAGGCACTAGGCGGCGCCACCCTGGCTACATGGTCTTGTTCTTGATCATAAACTTAACTATAGAGAAACTATTACCTCACTATTTTTAGCATTTCTTGTTGTGAATTTGTCGTGTGGACCAGTTTTAATTGTAGTTGTTTTGTAAATGATCCATATGATTCTAGTGAAGGTGTATGGAGTTCAAAAACACAGTGGAGCACTTCCTGTATTACCACATGACATCGTAAGTGTTTTCCATTCTAAGGAATATATAGGATTTGTGAGAATGAAACAAAACACAACTCTGGGTGTGGGTGTCATGTTTGTGATGAAGAAACAACATTATAACATGGATCCAAAATGGGTCCTTTAAAATACTTGGCTCATGATCTTGTCCTTGATCACAAACATAACTAGACAGCCTATTACCTTCCTACTTATTGTTTTTTTTTTCTTGTGAATTTGTCATGTGGAGTAGTCTTGTTTTCACTTTTTCATAACTCCTAACTAATTCAACCCCACTTATTGCTAAAAACGAAATGAAATCTTTTAAAATACCCATTCCATGATACACACTCCTGGTTTTGTATATGCCTCACCATGCGTACACAGGGTTTTCGGTCCTCTCCTCCTCCCAGAGCCTGTGATTGATGCCTCAGTGTAGTTGATGTTGTCCCTCCTCTGTTTGTTTACCTCACACAGCCACAGCAGCAGACTGGTGTGAGCTCCATCTGCTACAGCGGCTGCTCAGGGCTCATTACACAAACTTTAGAAACTCCACTCAAAGGTGATTTGCTTCAAAACATTAGATTAGTATCACCTGAATATGTATGTGTTTAATAATAGTTATCATGGCATTGTCTGCTATAATAAAGGTCCAATATTACGCTAAATTTACTCTTGTGATCTTTAAGCCATGTTAGAATATTGTTACCTCCTCAAAAACAGACCTGGAGTTGTATTTTTTTCCCCTTAATATTAGTCTGTATACATCTCCAAAGCTCAAAATGCTCTGTTTCACTTTGTGATATCATGAAGTGGTAGCTTTCGAGTTAACAGCTACCTTTTACCTTTTGTAGAGATTGGAATTTCCAGGGCTGAAATGATCCATATTCTAGTGAAGGTGTATGGAGTTTAAAAACACAGTGGAGCACTTCCTGCATTACCATATGACATCACCAGGGGGAACAGAGTGTTTTCAGTTTGAGAGATGAATTCCACTTAAATATGCAAGGTTTATGTGTCAAAAAATCAAACAAAACACAACTCCTTGTATGTTTGTGATGAGAAAATAACATTGTAACATAGATCAATCAGAAAATAGTGTAAAATGGGCAAGGTCCATAAATATAACTTAATTTGATATTTTTTGTTTTATTTATTTATGCATTTGGTGTAAGTACAAAGGGGTGTAAATTGGTCAAAGTAACAGTATTATCATAATTTAAATGAAGGGTGTGAATAGGTGAGAATTGCTGCTTTTGAAAGAAAATTCAAAAATTATGATCCAAGAAAAGTTGAACATTATCAGTGTTTGTTTGGGATTGGCACCACAACACATCATTAATCTTATGGCATAAAGTCCTTTTAACTGAAAATAATTACGTCTTATGGGTTTTCTGAAGCTATTATGAAATAATTACTTCACTTCCCTTTTTTTATTTTTCTCAACAAGAAAGACAATGAACTTTGTGACTTTTTGTATAACCCCAGTAATTTTATAGCATAAGCATAAACACCAAATCTGCAATCTTTCAGTTCCACTAAAGAATTCTTGTCTCTTGTCCTGCATCTCAAGTTTGAACTATTTTATAATGTTACGATGTAATTTGAAGGCAACCTGTGGATGAAAACAAAAAGTTAAATGGGAGGGACTGCATTTCAATAAGACTTTTGACTTTATCAGTGTAAGCTTTACTAATGATTTTATTTGTTAGGAGATTTATGTTTGGAAAATACTGAAATGCAAGATATTGCAAGATAAATATTAAATGACTTCTTAAATATCACTGTTTCTATCCAATGTGTCGTTTAGTCGTTTAGTTTTACGTTTAATAACCAACACCAACTGTTACTTCTGAATCAGGCATACATAGCTAACTGATACACATGGATTGTTATTGATGACCAAAAATGGTAGAAAACAGGAGTGCAGGAGTGACTAATTTTCTTCCATATGCATTGTTTTAGCGCCTGTCTCACACCCAAATGATGTCAGGAGTCTGTGCTAACACAAACATATCAGCTTCACCTGCTGCCCACAGAATGGAAACTGCTAACAGAGGCTACCACGGACTAACTTTTCCAGCTTTTTGTTCAAATGGGAAGTGAGGAATAGGAAATGCCAGGTCTCTTAAGCACAACAGTGGCTGACGAGGAAACTTCCTGATTGTCATACATGTGACCATGAATCAGATAATATTATAGTGTGAGCATGATTTAAAAAATGCATTTGTCATCGCAAAAGAAAGAAATAATGTTACTTTAGAAGGATTTTTCACATATTTTCCTTAAGGTTTTTTTAAAGGAACACTTTATTGTCCCCATAGGGAAATGTGTTCATGATCTTATTACCTTAGCTGCCGCCATATTGTTGTGAGCAGCTTTGTTTTAGTTTAATTTGATATAATTTGAATTTTAAAAAATGTATTTTTATTTTAAAGTCTTTATTGTATGATTGTGTGACTATATGATAACAATTTTGAATGAGGGTGGACCTTATGCTACTGTTAAATCAGACATGTTTTACTCTTTTGGCAATTTTTGTATGTGCTCTTAATATTATTACTATTATTTATTTGTTTGTGAAAAGTGAAATTATTTAAATTGTAAAAAAAAAAAAACCTACTTGAAAACAGTCACTCACCATGTATATTTTTGTGAGTGGGCTTGCCTCTCCACAAACCTAACTCTTCTGGCCTGGAGAAGGGCCTTCACTTGGAGAATCTCTTGGGGGTATGGTTTTAATTTTCTGATTCCATGGAATCATGCAGCTGGTGTGGCACTTACAGTTACTTGGTACACCCAACAGAAAGTCAAATCAAACAATGAAACTGTCATTGGTATGAAAAATAAGCAGGTCAACCGGTCCTCTCTGTATGTCTCTGTTTTGTCCCTTCTTAGTGTTCGCCATCCGCTCCATCTCTCTGTCTCTGGAGCCTGGTGAGGACGTGACCCGGGACACTAACGTCACAGTGCGGTGCACCGCGGTGGTGAGCACTTCAGGACTCCAGCCTCTGAGCAGAGAGTACAACATCTCCAAAGATGGCACCACAATTTACTCCAAAACCACCAGCAGTGAAGAGGACTTACTGTACCCCCTGCCCCATGTCCGAGTGTCCCACACGGGCAAATACATGTGCAAGATCAGCATCGAGGGCAAGAGCCAGAAGAGTGAGGTGCGCAGGCTCAGAGTCACTGGTACGAGAGAGTCACTGTCAGTTCTTTTTGTTATTCTGCAGTATTGACATTGAATGTCAATGTTATTATTGTTGTCATCTACCCTCTCAAACTTATATTGAGACTCACTCAAGCATGTTTGAGTAATTTTGAGTCTATACTTACTTGGTTCTAAGGTTTAGTTTTACTGATGAGATTCAGCAGCATTGTGTTGTCATTTTTGCACCATTGAAAAAAAAAATCTGCTTGCTAGTGTGAACTGTAGGTGTATTAATGCAATTTTGGTCCCAGACTTTTTTTCTTGGAAGGCTAAAATTAATATCAGTGATATTTTGATATTATGGTTAAATTGTTATCAATAATTGTGCTTTTTGGGGAATATAATGGTTTGGAGCTAATGACACAAAATGGAATTAAAATAAATAATCCTTATTACAGCATCCCTTCACAGGCCAAGTTTGGCACTTCAGGTACCTCTGGTATATACCTAAATATTGAATCAAATGTATTATTGGTGACCACTAAATACACTAAATGATTGTATCATATTGTTACACCATGGTATTCCATCATTTGTATCTAATACCATCTGTTCTTTTCCAGGTCTGTCCCCTCCAGTCCTCCAAGTTGAAAAGACCATGCTGAGTGAAGGAGAGGAGCTTAAGGCCAGCTGCACTGCTCCTGGAGAAACTGGCGTTATTATGTTTTACTTTTACGAAGATGGTAAAGAGAAGCAGGAAGAACGTGTAAAAACAGACCATGTGGAGGTGGCGTTCCCCCTCAGTGGCCCTGGACACCACACCATAGAATGCTCCTACAGGGTCCTCCTCACCCCCGACTCCATCCTGTCAGAGAAGAGCCACTCTGTGCGTATCTCAGTCAGAGGTGAGGGCTCAAAAACTACAGCCAGATTGCATTATTAATTGTGTCCATGCAGATAGACTATTTTAATGCCATGTAGAACCTTCATGACACATCCATGCAGACAACCGGGTGGCACACCCTCCACCCAAAACATTACATTGAAAAAAACAATCTACAACTGCTTATACAAATTGAGCAGAAAATTTGGTCTCATATTGATTTTTTTTATACCCACTACAGAGCTACCCTTCGTACCAGTCCTGGACATCTTCCCTCAGTACGAAGTGTATGAGGGGGACCAGCTGAGCATATCCTGTGGAGTTCAAGACACTTATCATCATTTTACCTCAGTGAGTGTGTATCTGAGCCAGGGCACTAACCTGCTGCAGCATGGACAGACAAAAGTAAACCACACCATGAAGGTTTTGGCCAGAGATGCAGCAGAGTTTGAGTGTCGCTTAGCCGCTGGAAAGGTGGAGAAAGCCGTGACCAAGGCTGTCCCTGTCACTGGTGAGTATATTTGGTATCATTATCGGAATCCTCTTTGCCATTGCTTTGCCAACTTCTCCTGCATATATATTCTAGGAAACAGTCTATCACAAAATTATTGATATTGCTATATACTGACTGAATACTGAAAACTGACTGAAACATTTATTAATATTGCAACAAAATAAAAAACAATATCATGAAGGTTTTATAAGTACTCATTTCAAACCTCTATTGAGTCATACATATTTTTATTGTTCTTCTCCCCAGAGCTGTTTTCAGTGCCCACACTGACCATGACTCCAGTGGAGGTTTTTCAAAAAGAACTCATGAAACTCATTTGTAAAAGTGATGAGGTTGCGTCTAAGCGATTGTCCAGTGAAGACCTGACTTACTCCATTGACCCTCATCAGATGCACCTGGTGGAGAAGGACAGAGGGGTGTTTTCTGGAAAAGCTTTAGCCGTGGAGTTCAATTACAGCTGTAGGGCCAGGGCCAAGAACATTGAGAAGCAGAGCAGGATTCTCACTGTTCGCCCAAAAGGTAAGTTTTTAGAATATTATATTGTAGGGATGGGATGAGATGAGATACAATTTCCACAAAACAAGATGAGACACGAGATTGGATCTACAAGAATGAGACATTTTGGCATTGTTTAGGCTATAATAAATTTATTGTGCAATCCAGTTCCCAATTTTAGCTTCACCATTTTTGATTTACTTTAATATTTCTGCTGTCATTGTAGCACTGTTTTTGGGACAAAATGTAACTAGCTAGTACTCTCTTTTTAATCCAATCCAAATGTAAAAATGTGGAGAGAATGCATGTGTGCACAATCTTGTGGCAGATCTTATAGCACAAGGTCTTGTCCCATTCCTATTATGTTGTTTAATTGAGTTGGTTCTCCGCTTGGGGGTCAGAGATCAATGATTTTATGAAAACTCTTAATTAAGCCTTTGACACCCTACGTATGCAGTGGTAAATGTAGATTCTAATTTGCTGTCTTACCATTTACCAGGCCTATGTCTTAAAAGTGAAATCAAGCATTAGATAAGGCTAGTTTATAAGTAGCATATTTTTGTGAATACCAATAGATGTTTTATGAGGTTCTCAGCTACACAAATTTAAGAGCCGCTGCTTTAATCCGCAATCAGATGTACACGTAATTAATCTATAAGTGGCAACAATATTAATTATTTAAAGGAAGAATTAGGATAGATTAATTTATTTCCTGTTTAAAAAAGTTCTTTCCATAAATCATATTGTTGCTAAAAATTCTGAACTTATTCCCATGTCTCAAAGGGATCAGATTTTTAAAAATGCATTTCTACATTTTTCACACTGAAATATTTGCATTGTATGTATTGTAAGTATGTTTTTTTTCCATTCTAAGTGACCAATATTCACCTGTTTCTCTGCTCCTCTTTAGTGGCGGTGTCTGTCCCGAAGATCTCCGTTGTGGATAGGGCTATTATTGGTAAACCCTTTAAGATTCGCTGTAAGTCTGATAATGGCAGCCTGCCCATAAACTACACCCTGATGTTCAAGTACGAGGTTGTTGCCATGGTGACAGTGAAGGTCCCGTCTGAGGAGGCTCTGTTCAATGTGACAGTGTACAAATCCGAAGACATCAACAAGTTCATATGTGAGGCAACCAATCGCCGCTCAGGTTTGGGTCCGCTCAGTGGCAACCTGGATGCTACTGTCATAGGTGAAACTACTACAATGTAGTTTTCTTCTATAATTTTTTCATCAGTTATGAAATTTTAATTACTTTTCAGACTGTTCTGTAGTTCTCTACATAACATAATATATAATAAGAAATGACAGTGCACACTATAATATCATGAATGCCCTTTCCTCTGCAGAGCCTCTGTCTCTGCCACTGTTGACAGTCATCCCTCCCCCGCCTGAGATAACAGAGGGCTCAAACCTCATCTTCATCTGCAGCATCAGAGGCACGCCCCCGGTTACCTTTAAAGTCTATCGCTCTGGTTACGACCTGCCGCTGTTTACCAAAACTTCTGCCGAAAACAACACTAGCTTTGAGATCCACGGTCTGGTCAAGGATCACAGTGGGACATACTACTTTGAGGCCCTCAACCATGCCAACAACATTGTCAGAAGTAACTCAATCAAAATAGAGGGTGAGCACAAGTTGGATTATACTTTTATTTACATATTTCCTGTCTTACATCATTGCAGGCTTTTAATCGTTTTGTACTTTTTGAGTGCCTCCATTTTTCAGCTTTAAATTTAGTACACTTTAAAGCTACAATTTGTAATCAGATTGGCCTACCCACCTCTGTTGTATTCTCACATATCACTGCTAGGTGCTATCTACGTTACTTCTGCCTGATAGTGTGCCAGCTTTGGCTTGAGAGAGGCACGGTGGCTGAGTGGCTAGAACCCACATTTCACAGCAAGAAGTTTTCGCATTCAGTCACCTGGGCCTTTCTGTGTGGAGGTTGCATGTTCTCCATGTTTGGGTGGGTTTCCTCCAGGCACAGAGGTTTCTCGCATCAGTAAAAAACATGCAGATGGAGATGGGTCTCGGCATGGCACTGTGACACCGAATGCTTCTGATGAAGTGCCCCAGCATCAATGGCATGGAAGGATGGGTCAAATTCAGAGAACAATTTCCCTACATGTGCCATAAATGTAACCTGACTTGTAGATGGTAGCTTCAAACGCTCTTATATAAAGATATGCGTTGTATGAGAAAATATATTGTATTAATGAGGTTCTTAACAATACCCAGCCCTATAACTTAGGCTCCCACAGCAATCACAGATGATTTCCTGACTGCTGTTTCCTCCTCTCTCCTCCACAGTGCGCTTGGCAATGTGGAAGAAGTTAGTGATCGGGAGCTTCTGTCTGCTGGCCCTGTGTGTCCTGGTGGTGGTCTGCGTTCTCTGCTATAAAACTCAAAGAGGTAGACAGACCTACAGCCCTCCGTCTGTGCCCTCTTAATCTCACTATGTACGAACCAGACATCAACCTTCCCCTCCTCTGCTACCTCTCTCTTTCCCATCTCCTTCTCCCTCTCTCATCTTTGTCTCTTATTGTAGGTAAAAAGAAAGGAGCCTCTGAACTGTCAGTGTGAGTTGGAATCAGTATTTATTTAATTGAACTGAATGAATTTTGCAGATAGAGTAGCTTAAAGGTGGACTTTGTAAATTTTCTGGTAGTGGGTCCACCAAATGCTTGTCTCTAAATATTTATATATGTTGGGTGATAGGGATAGAAAATCAGGTTATTTTTTTGTTTGAGACTTTTATAATAGTCTGATTCAAAAGTATGCTAAACTTTAGTTTTGAAACAGATTGTATGGAAACAACTTGTTTGTTGCAGAATGTAATTTCATGTCATTATTATTTATAGAAAGCCTGCATACCCTAAATCAGATGAGACTTTAACAATGAATCTAACCCATGAAACTCCGGTTTATGACACGCCCACAGGTAGCCCACTGTTTTACTGTTTACTGTTGTTCACGTCCACATTAACAATTCTTAAGTAGTTTTCTAACATGCATGCAACATTGTCCTACTAACCCCATCAAAAAGTTGGGATAATGTGTTTTGCAAAAATCTAATTATAAACCATTCTCAGACATATTGAGAAGTATACGTTAAACCAACTGTATGTAAGTAAACATTACAAATATTTTCAGTAAATATATTAACTCAGTGTCACTGGACTGGATTAAAACTAGGAGTTGTCAGTTGGCATCACATTCATTTGTCCATTACGCACAGTATCCCCACTTTTGAGAAAAGCACGTTGAATAAAAACAGCACTGTAAACTTGAACTTTCTTGAGAAATACATTCACCTAGATGTGGCTTTTGCATGAACTAATTATTTTTTCTATTGTTGAAAGTAGCATCTGTAGTACTACAATCTGGAAATTTAGATTATAGGTAGTAGTTATGTTGTGCTAGTACATTGTTGTTGCAAGGTTCTTAGACAGCTCTATATGATCTTGTTGCAGACGCAGTGCCAGGCTATGAAGGCATAGAGGGGAGAGTGACCAATGGGACGAGAGCTAGCGTGGCGTCGCTACCTCCTAACACGAGCTACAGTGTGTCTGCTGCAGTTTAACTCACAAAAAGATGGATCTGAACTTTATTTTGTAAATGACTGAGAACTAAATGGGAAGGATCATAGCAACTGGACTCTACTTGGCTTTTGGACTCTGTCAGAAGAGGCATGCTGTAAACCAAAAAGACCTGTTGTTCCCTCTCCCCTCCACAGGCTTCTTTTGTACATAACTATTTAAACCCTTTGTCCTGTATTTCTGACTGTTCTGTTTTCTGTGCTCCATGTTCTGTTCACATTTTTGATATTACTTGCCAGAAAATGTACTATGCTTTTCTGGGGACCATTCAGTCTCTGTTGTATTATAATTCATACACTATTTATTTTTTATTTGTGTTACTTCTCTGAGAGTTCGCACTTACTTCACTGTCACTGGTTAAATCCATGTGTCAATCACTAAAGGTATGCCCGCGGGTGACAAATAGAAGGTAGATAATATTTGTGTCTAAGAATGGAACTACATAAAGCACTTATACACAATGTTAGAATATCAAGTAGGCCTGTCACGATATATCATGACTATAGCTTTAATTACCTTATCGTTCAGTTTATAAAAAGTTGGAGCAATATATTTTGGGACTCAGTATCTATTGTATGTACAATTTCTTTGTAAAAGTGGGCAGATTTGTGCTATTTTAGTGGTAATACAATAGATTAGATACAAAAGATCTGAGCTGTAGAAGGTTGAATAAGTGACTTGTATGGCTAATTATTGGTTGATTCTGTTATTTATCTGTTGCAGCTCAGGCCTTTTAATGATACCGTATATTTAAAAATGATTTGCTGGGATTATCTTGCCAATGTGTCAGTGGCATAAATATGCAATATCTCTCTGTAGCAATATATAATTTGTTATCATGACAGGCCTAATATCAATACAATACTACAATACTCAAGTATGTCGGTATGTTTTCCAGTATGGATGTAATTAAGTGAATTTTATCATGTAAAAGCAGTTAAAGGCACACTATGTAATTATTCTGTCAAGCACCTATTTGTCACCATAGAGATGTTATTGCTTTGCCTTGAATGTTTCACAGTAAACCTATCTAGCTCCACACAGATAACCAGGCCTAGTTACTTCTGTGGAGTGTTTAATTCCATATTGTGGAATATTCCAGGCAAATGGAGACAAGCAGGTGGTAGACTCCCCACCAGACATGTTACAGAGTGCACCTTTAATTCACATGTGTAGTTATTTAAATACAGTACAGTATTGGTTGTTTATTTATTTTTCGATTTCAGGGTCCATAGTGGCTGGGTGGTATGCAGAACAAACACTTTCATTTTGCACAATTATGCCTTGTTAGTTCTGATCAAGCCTTAATCTGATTTCCACAAACAGTCTGGCTCAGTTATAATCATTGTTAAAATATTGCTGTATAGTTCTTTTTACAAGAAATGTTTGTATATATTTTGCTTGATTCCACTGGCAAAAGAGGCACTTAGAATAAAGATTTTAGTTTTTATATCGTTTATTGCCTCTTATTCTAATCTAAGATATTCTCATATCGCTCTGTGTTAATATGCTCTGAAAAGGCCCAAGGACCACAGATTAAGTCCATGAAACGTATCCATTTCCTAAAACCTCAACAGAGACTTCCTTGAAATGTTGGAACAATAGAGTGAAGGAGGAACTTCCTATTTTGGCAGCGTGAATGCAAGAGTGGGCGGGGCTTAGGGACTGGGTTTGAATGCATGCAGCAGGTGGAGGAAATTAATCACATAAGACTTGGTAAAACTCTGAGTCAGATAACATAACCAGTGGGATGTTGTTTTGCCTGGACACAATGTGGTACTGTGTCTAATTTAAGTGCATATTGTGCTCAAGAATGTGGATTGAACTTTGTAGATTGACAGAAATACTTTATTGATCCACAAGGACCTGGACACAGTAGCTCACACATTAAAAAAAATCAAACAATGGTGAACAAAACTAAATCTAAAACAACAAAAAATCATGGAATCTCAACACAAAACTGATAAACTACAGCATACGAGAAAACATTGTTTTTGTTTACATCTGACTTTTCCACATGTGCGCAGTGGCTGGTAGGCAAAAAGTCAGTGGGGCTGCTCATTTGTGTTGACAGTTGCGTCGTGTATGTCTATCATGAGATAACTCATCTTATTTGGAAGTAGGTTTTGCATTTAATTGTTTTAGCATGACTTCATTATCTTACTCTGTCAATGAATGTTGAGGATCAAATACGTTACTTTGAAAAGTTAAAACTCGGCGATAACTGTTGATGATGTTAATGTTGTACTGTTGTATGACGATTGTTGATGTTGTATGCCGATAACTGACGATTTTGATGTTGAGTGTTGATGTTGGCTTGTTGATACGGATGCTTTTTGCCTACCAAAATGGCTGCTGCCCTGGAAGTGACGTCATAGTGTTTTCTCATATGGTAGGGCAGACTCCAAATACTTCAACCATTTCAAGCTTGTTAAAACACTCTTCTTGTAAATGTATTACTTATAGGCAGTAGTAACATAATTGGGTCCAGTGCACTTAAATAAGAACTGTAACAAGAGTTTTAGTAATTTATCCATATTATAAAATCTTAAATTATGCAATGTTTAATCTTAAGATCTAAAAATATGTATGTTATATTATATATCTTGTCTTGTGTTGTGTTAAATGATGTTGTGTAAATTAAGTATTTTTCTTGTGTCTTGCAGCGACGAGAGCAGTGGACAGGACCATTGTTAGTGTTTGGACTGAAAGACCACCACATGGTAAGCCTCTATATGCTTTTATATAAAAAGAGTTTATTAAGAAAAAATAATTCTCAATAAACTGTCTATTCATTATATATTGAGTCTTTCTTCATGCTTTATTAAGGATATGTAAATAGTATTTATTATAGGAATTACTTATGCACATGATTTTCATTTCAGTTAGTGAAGAGAACAGCGTAGTGTCCAATGAGCCTGATGTAGAGTACACTGAAGTGGTGCATCCACGCTCAGCAGATCCAGCAAGAGGTAAGCTTGTAGGAGCACTGCATCTTCTTTACTCTATAATGATTTCTCTGCAACCAAAACCACAAAACCATTTACTTATCCTTATAACCACATTCCCTGGTTGTAGATAAGGTAGACCAGTGCTTCCTGGGTGGGGTCTAATTGTAGATCATTAAAGAGTGTTCAGGTTTTTGGGATTTCCACCTCCACAGAGACTCTTAACAGGAAGTACTGAGCTGATAGCTGCTGTGCTGTGATATGAGAGAGATATGAGAGAAAGATGGTGGTTACACACTATGACCAATACTGAGCAGACACGTCAAAAACATTTTGACAAGACATTATGTTGACAATATAAACATGATATTTCCTATTTGTCTTGACAGCTCCACTGAAGAAAGGCACTGACACTGTTTACAGTGAGCTACAGAACTCTCCACATGGTGAGTTTCATTTTATCAGTAGTGGATAGAGTCCTGAAAATGTGCCCTTAAGTAAAAGTTACATGGTACTGCATAAAAAAATTACCCAAAGAGCTTGCTAACTGTTTGATTTTATTGTTTAGACCCAAGTGATTTTAAACCGCAATCTATGTATTCTGAGTTACAACCAATCAGAGAAGACGATGCAGTATTTTTAGATTTAGAAAGGATTGCACAGAGCAGTGTAGTGAGATTGTATCTGCTATGATTTAAAATGTAATCAAATCAGAAATGTAATGAAATTGGCTAGAATTATACCCAATTACTAGTACAAGTTTAAAAAGTCCTCTCACAAAAATACAATTAACAGAAAAATCTACTGTAACTTGAGTATGTGTTAGTTACTTTCCATCCTTATATTTATTGGCCAGTTTTAATAATAAAGTGACAAATAATATAACCCAAAACCAAAGCAGTTGGCTTTAAAAAAAAAAAAAAAAAAAAAAAAAGTAAACCTGTATCACACCAAGAAGGTCCCAGGTTTGATTTGAAGCTCTCCCTGTGTCTGGATAGGTTCCCTCTAATTAAGAGAACAGTAAAAATACACTATACTTTACCCTATGACGAAATGCTTGCTATATGTTAATGAACTTAGTCATTTGTTCCTTGGCTGTTTACATCGGTTGTGTTCAAATCTCATTGTGTGATATTTGTCCAAAACAATAGCTTTGTTATTTGAGACACATTTGGAGCATGCCACTTTTTATTCCCACATGGAGACATATCTTGTAGTACCCATCAGGGGGAGAGATAAGGACTGAAAACTCTTTTGGCCATAACTGTATCCTGTTTCTGCTGACTGGAACGTCCTGTTATTAGAACAACAGCCAAACTCTGCTTCTGTCCATCAGTGAGAGCTCTAATGTGTCCTTTCAGCAAAGACAAAGGGTGAATAGACATGGGTAAAGATATCCAATATATGAGCAAAACACTACACAGAGTTTAGAGTTGTTTAGTTATAGTTAATAATGCCTTAATGTATTGATGAGTACATGGGTATGAAATCCATGCATCAACTGACTAAAGTCCCAAACAAAATCAGGTATGCTTTTAATAATATTTACATCTTAATTTGCCTTAATAAAACATGAATAAAGTCTTAATTCATAATCGACAAATGATATTAAGAATGATTAAGTAAGGATTTAACAACCTTACACAACTACCTACTTACGGGCAGTGTTGTGCAAGTTCATTCAGTTTCATTAACTAGTTCAAAGTTCAGTTCACACAGTTTCAAAGTGAATTGTTCACGTTCATAGTTCACAATTTTAATTTTGAACTAGTTCAAAGTTCAGTTCATTTTGTTTTTAGGTGAGATATGTAAATGAAAGGCTGAACTTATTTTTCAAACTGACTTCTGACTAAACTATCACGTTGAAGATGGTTCATGTTTTCAGAGATCATACGTGTGCAGGTTTAGCACAGCTCTTTATTTCATAGTCATTTCACTCACTTTATTTATGTTGGTAACTTTATTTATTTTTGTGTTTGTCTTTTGGATACATGCACACTGAACTTTATGTTGCAATCATTGGGATACTCTGTATACATGCACCATGACGAAACCGGGATATTCAAAAAAAACCGATCATAACCGAGATACTGATGTGCATGTAAGCGCATTCATTGAATGGTACAGTGATCTCCAAGGAGGTGCCAGAGCTGAAACGTGGGACAGTGAGGCCGCAACTCCAGTGTTTGCACTGTCAGATGCAGCCTCGTCTCCTTACACACTCCTTACTCCTGCACAGCAACCTACATTCAGTTTGTCGATTAAAAATGAACGTGATCGACGAAATTGTTAAAGATCGATTAGTCAACTAATCACGCCCATCCCTATTTCACACTACATTACCCAAGATGCACTGCACAGACAAGTGCTCTCTGGTGAGGCTGTGCAGGAGGAGCCCGTGGGCAGTGAGTTACAGCGCAACATGCAGTTTAAAAAGAGTGAGCAGACCTTGTCACTTGGCTCATCAGGTGAAAACAAATTCCAGCGTTTAATTAAACCCCAACAGTGACGTACGTTGTTCATCTCACATAATCTGAACAAATTCACGATCAAGTTCTTGATTTACAAATGTGTTGCGCTGAGTTCAAAGTTCACGGAAAAATTAACATTTTCAATGAACGCTTTCTTTTGAACTCGTTCATGCACAACACTGTTGACGGGGTAAGTATTAGGATTGTGGATAGGATAGTGAGAGTATTAATTAAGTAGTTACTAATCCTGAATAATTCTTAATACAATATTTGTTCATAAATGTTTAGGGCTGCACAACTTCAGTTAATAAAAAACTCTCAGGACAGATATGCACATTTTTTATTTTATTTTTTTATCACTTGGAAGTGATTGGATTACCAAATTAAGTACTGTTCCTTTAAAAAGCTGTTATTCAAGTATAAGTACAGGTATGTTGTTTGAAAATTACTTGTATGTAATGTAACTGAGTGAATATAACCCATTACGACCTCTGCTCAAGGCCAAACTATTCTTTAAAATGTAATAAAATGTCAAATATAATCCCAGTTTTTGTTCCACCTCTGTCTGTGAGTGCAGACTACAAACACTGCTCTAAACCACAGGGGCGGTTTTGTTTTGTTTTAGAGGCGTCTAAAGCCTGGTGTGGAGTAGGAACAGGGGTTAAAGGTCACTGTGGTGTCTGCATAAAAACAGGACTCTGGTCTGATCCTTGCTGTTTGTCCTCCACAGGTGATGCAGATCCACACCCTTATGTGAGTACACCGCCCTCTGGCTGTCACTGCTGTGAATGAAATGAGTTTGTTTTTCACACTTCTGCAGACAAGCGCTCAGTGTGCACAGGAGCAATGTATTGTGTCATGTAAATAGTGTGTGCTCAGAAAACATAAGTGAGGACTTCTTGGTGACAAAAAATATATTTATATAGTAGCATGTTTTTACTTTTTCCACATTGTTAGCTTACTTTTATTATAGGCTTAAAAATAGGATATACATTTGGCATGGTCCTGGAGAGGCTCTCTTTTTCACTTCA